TGTGGCAGCTTGAGTTGATATTATCAAGAGAATGAATACCAAGGATGTGAGAAGCCAGTTGTGCTTGAAGCATGGCATTGATATCGTCTTGTGAATCTTTTTAGCATTTTTTTTTTTTATTGTTTTATTACTTTATTTTAACAGCTAACTTTTTAAAGATTATTATTTTTTTATTTATAAATTTACGTACGAACCTTCTGTTAATACCAACTCTTAACTAAATGCTATAATTTATACTGTTCGTTCCTCACATTGTTTTTATTTGGATAACCAAATATTATATTATTTTTATTTGATGTATTATCTCATGTGGCGATTCACTTCCAAGATCCAGGAATAAATTAATTAATGATTGTTGAACTCAACCTCTACATACTAATTTTCATGGTTTTTTGTATTTTTCATTTGTTTTTTTTTTGTTTCAATATTATACCGAAATTACCTGTCAATGCGAGGAGGGATCAAAAAGTAGTGAGAACGACATACTCCTTGGTAAGAAAAAAAAATACTGGCAGGCATAGCTTAGATACATATTTGTAATATTAATAAAGAAAAAAATCTTCGGTTCTCTTTTGTTTTTTTTCTGAATGTAGTTATTTGTTGGCTTCGTGTCGGAACGTGTTGTCGAAAATGGAGAAAAACGACGTGCGAGCCGTTATTAAATACCTCTGTTTAAAAAAGTTAACGATGCAAGATATTCATTGCGATTTGGAGGCAACATTAGGAGAGTCTGCTCCGCCGTATTCCACTGTCGCAAGGTGGGCTTCTCAATTTCGAGTAGGCAGAACGAGCACAGAAGACGAACATCATTGCGGCCGTCCATCGACGTAAGTCACCCAAGAAAATGTTGCGAAAGTCAAGAAAATTGTATTGAGCCATCAAAAAGTGACCATCCGATACTTAATTCGAGAAACGGGCATTTCGTATAGAAGTATTCAATCCATACTGAAACAATCTTTGAATATGAGAAAAGTCTCCGCAAGATGGGTGCCGAGAATGTTATCTGATAGTCAGAAACCAAATCGACTTGCCATTTCCAAGATATTGTTGGACAAGTTTCAAGAAGATTCTGAAAACTTTTTGTCTCGCTTCGTAACAATGTACGAAACATGGTTCCATTATTTTGATCTCGAGACAAAACAGCAATCTTCGCAATGGAAGCGGCCATCATCACCGACCCCGAAGAAGTTTCGTGTCGTGGCATCGGCTGGCAAGGTCTCAATATTTTGGGATTCAGAAGGAATATTGTTGATTGATTACCTGGAGCGTAGAACCACTATTACAGGCCAATATTATGTAGCTTTAATTTCCAAGTTGAGGAATGCCATCAAAGAGAAAAGGAGAGGGAAACTTCGAAGGGGCGTGCTGTTTGATCACAACAATGCACCCGTGCACAGGTCGGCAGTTGCAATGGTTGCCATTCAGCAAGCTGGCTTCGAATTGGTTGACCACCTAACTTATTCACCAGATCTGGCGCCTAGAGATTTTTATCAGTTCCCCAAATTGAAAGAATACTTAAGGGGAAACAGGTACGAAGACGACAATGAGGTGATGTATGCGGTGGAGAGCTTTTTGCTGGACCAAGACAAAACTTTTTTTTTTTTGAAAGGGATTGAAGCCTTGGAAAAGCATTGGACTCGGTGTGTAGAGAGACTCGGAGACTATGTAGAAAAATAAATTATTAAGTTATCAATAGTCATTATATTCTATCTCATTTTCACTACTTTTAGATCTTCCTAGTAGTTTTATCAAGTTTATATTTTTTAACTATAGAACTGTAAAATTTGTTGGCACTCCCTGATCCTTGAGAGAATGCAATTCATTTGAATTAATTTTGAGACAAAATTATAAAACTTAATTTAAGTTGAAAATTTAATTTATTTTATTTTATTCTAGTTTTAGTTGTGTAAAGAAATTAAAATAAAAACTTAAATTCAAACGTCAATTCTATGTCTCTTCGTTTTGCATCCTCACGCACTCTTTCAAAAGCCGGAAAATACATGAGTTTCTATGAATGGAACTATTTTAACAGTTATTGTTTAACCAGTAGCTTGTGAATTCAACTTCTTTATAAATTTACCAAATAAATAGTAAACCAAATATTTATTTTCGTTATTCAGTACTTCCTACTAAAACATGCTAAATTGGCGATATTCGAGGTTATATAGAGTCAATATCGAAAATTCATCTAATTGTTTACTAAAAATTGCCTTCGACACACTTTTCCTAATAGGGTGTTTCAAATTATTCTATTAAATCTTTCATCGATTCTTTCGAGAGCATTGTTGTATTTAAAACAATTTACCAGAACATTTCCTAATGAAATTGTAAAACAGCTGTGATGCAGCTCATGAAGCCCATCTCGTGTCTCAAGCCGAGAATTTATTTTGAGACGTTTATGGATATCGTTATTTACTTAACACTAGATCAAACGCCTCACATCTTACTATGTTACAAACAAATATCCGGAAAGTATCCGATGCGTATTGAGAGGCATCGGCACTGTTCCAACATTCTGGCTAGATAGAAGACTGGAGGGAATTTTCATCTAACGCTCGCATTAGAAAGAAACGTAGGCTTGCCGGACAGACATCGCACCTTAAGAATTGAAGTGTCCCAATCCCAAATATCTTATTTTAGGGTTAAGGCCAAAAATGTAATTTATTGAAGAATTGTCATTTTTTGGTTTTTCGATAAGTAAGCGCTTGATTTAAAAGAGTCGGAAAGAGTACGTTTGTCCTTATCTAGACTAAAAGAGATTGCTTAATTTTAATAAACTCATAGAATACATGTTCATAATAATATGTCGTTCGAAGTACAAAACTCATTTTCTTAAAAATTTAGTTAATCCTTTCAATTCTATGGGTGCGATATATATTCTGACTATTTATTTTGACAGCTTTTTCGTATGCGCAATCACAGGATAAACAATTTTATAAGTATGTAATGTTAATTAATTATGAGATTCAGTACTACTCAAAGTCAAACCGTAGACTGATTATAATTATTTATTCGTAGCTTCTCGTTCTTCATCATTCACCCGTTCGTATTTATCTTTAATTTTTATCTTTAAATTTATCGTAAATTTTGAATTTGGACTTTGAAATTTAAATTAAGTAAATTGATTTTGAAATAGAACATATAATTCAATCTGCACTTCTTTCAAGAGTGATTATCACTTTTAACTCGCTAGGTAGATAAACTATGGATAAAAGACAATTAATAAAATTTTGACAGTCGCCAGATAGCCTTATTAGATAAAACGAGTTAAAATTGTAGGTTAGTAGGGTTGCTGTATGTACTGAATATATTATTTATTAATAGTGTACAATACGCGCCAAGCTATGTAATATGTATCAGCAATTGAATAGTGATGGAAATGAGTATGTATGGGGGAAGGTGAGTTTAAAGAAATAGAAATTTTACGTTTTGCGTTAATTTTTTTGAAAACTGTAATGAAAATGCGAAATCATGCCGAATTTCACAAACTCCAATTTTTATAATATTGAACATAGGGAGTAGGGTAGTGGCTCGAATACATTACTAAGAAAATGTCATTTTCAGGGATCTCTCTGTCGTAGGTTTGAGTTCGAAGTGGTCGTGGCCTAAAGGTTAAGATGCTTCGAGTGCTAGTTTTATTATTGCTCTTGTACCACCTGATAGTGAGTGGTTACCGTCACTCACGGACGTCAGTAATGCCAGGGGCAGAGCCAAGCCACTGCCTAAAAATGTATCAAGCGATGCGACCATTCTGGTGTCCAAATGACGTCGAAAGTTTCCAATGTTTAATGAACTACGTACTTAACTCATATTCACGAATTACTTCTAAGTTGAAAGAATAACATCGTATATTAAGAAATGAAACCCAAAAAAAATTGTAATTTTGCGTAATTACCGTAGTGCGTACTATGAACCTGAACGGGATTGTACCAGCACCGCCTTGCTTATTTTGACCGAAATGTACTGCGTTACGCTTACACGTATGCGACAGCCGTTATACAATTCAAATGAGAATTTAACAATGAGCCGTGAGGCTCAGGGTGAGTTTCGGCATTCACATTGTGATGAAAGAAAATATTTGAGAAAAAAAAACCCGCTGAGTTTGTTTCGCCGGTTCTTCTCAGGACTGTGGCTATTTTTTTGGAACCGGTGGTAGAGTTAAAATTGTTATTTATATTTAGACTTTCAACAAGTCTGTCATACTGACATCTAAGTTGAAATAAATGATTTTGAATTTGACTATGGGCTCTGGTAACCACTTAACCAGCTGAGTCGCGAGCTCGTTCTATGTTAGCTGTATCGTAATTTGAAAATCGACCAGGTACTTTGTTTTGAAAAAGAGTAGTAGTTTTATAGAAAAAGAGTGACATAAACAGACATTAGAGACCCCAAGGGTTGAAGTTTCGAACAATTTATTGCCCAGCCCCTTTCAACAGTAATAGGAGCATGTAGTATGCAGAAATTAAATAATAATATTAAACGTAATTAAGTACATATAATTGATTAACGTTTTATTACCTATGACTGAAACTCATTCAAAACAAGTAGCTCTATTTCCTTTCGCATGAATTTAAGATTCATTTTCATGTTTTTTTTTTGATATTTTTAAAATGACTGCACTACAATTGAATCGTAATGCTATTAAATTGATAAATTACTCGGTGCAGATAAGCATAAGCAATGGTATAAATAATTTATTACGGCATGTTTCAAGTTAATCAGGACCGCGAGACTAATTCTGTGAATGAATAGTGCAAATAATTAACTTACCTCTCATATTGAATGAAAAAAAAATTACATCAATGAAAGCGTGTTTTTTTTAATATTATATACGGATAATAATATTTAATCAAACTACTTTTGTAACATATGCGCTAAACAGTATATCGCGTAGGTACATACTTACATTTACTAAGAATTATTACGTGTCAATCACCCAAATAGAATTATCGTACATAGTTTCATAGACAAGTAATGAAAAATTATTTATAGAGACATACCTGTTTTATAATAGAGCGGGTGACGGTTCAACTTTTAGGTTACGTTTTGGTTCCAAGCATCAGCCACGTGTTTTAATTTTAGCGAAATGCGAGCGTGCGACCCGCTCGCGTGTTAAAAACGGAATGAACGAAAAGCGGCCAGCGAGTCACAGCAAACGTACGCAGCACGCATGGCTTAAGCGAGACCGATTGTTGCGTCAGAGAGTATACGGTTATACACGCCATGGCATCCGTCATACCATTATTTTTTTACCCCGCCTTGCATACCGCAACGCCAAACCAATGCTACACATCCAGTAATCTATCTAAAGATAACGCTCTTATTGTAATTGTGGAAAGATATCAAGCGAACTTCCGCTATGCAGTTTACTTGTTTAAAACATTTTTTTTATATTTTTTACAGTTAATCAATATTCCTAATTGTTTGTTTATTTCCTTATTAGGCAGGCGAACGAATAGAGACTGCTGTACTTACACCTGACTGTGCTAACAAAAACAAGCCGCTGGATGTCAAAGTTCTTCAGTTTATTTATTACAGTGATTTGCCTTCGGCCTTCGGTGTGTTTATGTTGCGTTGTCATGGAAATGACATAGTTTTTTTTCTGCTGAGTAATACTCCGCTAATAATCTATAACTAATATATAAATCTACAGTGGTTTTTACGGATGTTCCGTTATGACTACTGAACCGTGCATCCGATTGACTTGAAGCTTGGTATCCATGTAGAAAATACATGTACTTAATGGATAGGCTAATATTTATATGAGTGTTGGACTCTCTACAACAGTTGTGGGGGCGTTAATGATGAGAATCTTTGTGGGGGTGAGAAATAATAATGTTAATTTTAAATGCCCAGCGAAGCGGACGGGTACACCTAGTAATTAATATATTTTTACTGAGTACTGAAAAAAAGATATTTAACGTTACGAATAGTAAATTTTACAGACATATTAATCAAATTCTATACATATAATTTGTAATTTTTATAAATTTGAACTTTAATAATTATTAACGTGACTTATCGGTAAATCTGCAAAGAGCGGAAAAAAGTACGAAACGTTATTTAAATTAACAACAATGACAGTTATTCCGTGGTAATCTCCCAATTCATAGTAAATTAGATATAAAAAATAGATATGTACATCTAAACAGGCACAACTTCATTCATTGAGAGTTTGAAACAATACGTGACGTTGCATCATATTCAGTGTGCAAAGCATAGAGTTAAAGCGCTTTCGGTTGACCTTAAAATATTATTAACTACCGTTAGTTGAAGTATCTTAAAACAAACGTGCGGTATGACATTTGAGTATTAATGAAATAAATTTCCAAAACTCAGTAACGTCGGGCTCTCAAACTCAGCTATCTCCGAGATCTGTGTGCTTAGTGCGAGTTTTTTAACATTCTCGATAGCGTAAAAGTTACCTCTTTTTTTCCTACCTATGCTGATAGCCTTGAGAGGCTATTTCAGCTTCGCCCTAACGTGTGTAGGTGACCTCACGGGGCTCAAACCGGAGTGTTGCTAACTCTGACCCTAGCAAGAGCAGTGCTTCGCAGAATCTACCACCGGATCGGAAACGCGACCCACTGAAAAGATCTGCCGAGAAACTCAGTGGGCTGTGTCTATGGATTAATTCGCTCGTCGAGCCCTTTGTCGCAAGCGACGGGTTCGACGAGGACGGTGACCGGAAAGTTACCTGAAATTTGTATGTAGCAGTTGGAACAGTGGCCCAAACGGCAAACGTTCCAACTCCATACAAATTTGACTTATCGAGAACGTTAAAAAGCTCGCACTAAGCACACTGGGCTCGGTTCCCGGTCGGCATCAGTATCTTTTTGTTAAAATATTTAGCATTTATTCACCCCTCCCGGGGTCTGTTTTCTTATGTTCTTTATTGTCTTCTTTACAGATACGGCCGCGATAGAATTTTGAAAATTAAATTTTTTTGGTACAGTTTTATTTATATTTACGCTAAGAAGAAAATATTAAGTCTGTACTTAAAAACGGTCGCTTAGTATACAGAAAATTAAAGTCATCTTTTATAAAAATAATAATAATCCATAAATCGACTTATTCACCCATGGTATCTCGATGCATTTCTATCAGCGCTAGTGCCTCTACATTTGTTTCGTGTGATGAAAACAGCAAAAAGTTAATTGTCGATTGGCGAACCTCTGGATGAGAATGAAATGAGCGCTGCAGACTAGAAATTAATGAATAGATGACGGTGGTCATTTATTGTCATGTAGGTCGCCTGCTTGTTACCTTCACTAATATTAGACTCATGGTCGTATCCATCATTACAGGTTACCAACGCACTTATGCATTTTGTTCGAAGCTACTGTTACTCTGTAATAAAGTATCAAATACATCTGAATGATTTGTAGATCCGTTGTTAAGTAGAATCACGAACTATCGAATACATTCTGTTTGTATTTAAGCACATATACCTTTTAATATAATTATAAAAAGTATTATTGTAGTTATAAACAATATAGAGGATGACCGAGCTTTGCTCAGTATTTTTTATTGATAAATTGTATTTTTTAGAAATTATATTTAAATACGAATTACATATTGATTATTATGTTATATTAATTGTTATTTTCTTTCAATAAAAAAAAAGTTTATGTTTAAGTTGATTATCGATAAAGTTGATTATTGAAAACACGAGTAAAACAACATTTTCTGAAAATAAATCGTAGCTAGATCGATTTATCGCCCCCGAAATCCCCTGTATATTGAATTTTATAAAAATCGTTGGTGCCGTTTCCGAGATTCAGATTATATATATATTTATATATAAGGATTGCTCGTTTAAAAATATAAGATTTTTGTAAAATTTCATCAAAATTTGTCCAACAGGTTTTGCTTTAAATAGGAACAAACATTAAAGTTAAATAATTATATACTGGTGAAAACAATAGCATAACAATGTTAATTAATTTAATTATGTAATCCCCTAGGCGCCTCATTTGCAGCTCACGACTCTTACGGTTGGTTACTGAACCACATAGACACCTCAATTTGAACGCCATCCATCGCCATCGCAAAATCGAATTCACGCATTAGTTTGAATAAGATTCGGTTATTTTGAATACAATTTACTAACTAAAATATATTAAATAAATACATTAGTGCAGTTTTGTTTATTGAGTGCTCCAGGAATAGAATGAAACAATAATATTGAATGAACCCTTTTCAGACTTATTCAGACGAAGACGCCTACGTTGTTTCACTACAAGTATGACGCAATGTACTCAAAATATACGTTTCTTACGTTTATTGTGGACAGTGATGGACTGACGCTTTAAAACGCGCCGAAAAAATGTGACCACATAAAGCGTTTTTCAATCAGTCGAATACTCGTTGGCAAAATCAACTTTTTTATTTATTTATTGCCCTTGTAGGCAGACGAACGTACGGCCCACCTGATGGTGAGTGGTTATCGTCGCCCATGGACTTCAGTAATGTCAGGAGCAGAGTCAAGCCGCTACATACCGTTAAGTACTCTCCACGAGCCTCGTTTGAAGAAGGGAAAGGGAAAGTGATCCAAGGTTGCCTATTCTGAATCTACTTAAGCATTTACTTTCGTTTTATATACTGCAGTGGTACATTCACATCACCTACAAACAGTTTAGGTGTGAAATGCTTATTTAGGTGTCTCATGAGTGATATTAAGAGAGTAGAAATAGGTTTTATTGCTCTAAAGCGCTGGCCATAATGGTGCAGGTCCTAGTTAATTACGATAATGGTGGATGAGCATAAGAAACTTAAGATGCGATTTAAATTTCGATCAACATTCGAACTTGGCTGGATCCGTGGGCGTCACTGCGGTACGTCAACACTGTTTATATCTACGAGTTTTAGCATTGTGCTTAATCGCAGGTAGGTACTCGGCGGGTTGACGTCATCGCGCACAATTACCTGAAGAGCCGTACCGAAAAACAAAAGTTTTGTTAACGCATAATTCAATGTTAAGGTAAGGTTAAAGCGAAGAATATTATGTGAAGGCAAAAAGGAAATTTGATATTTATTTTGAGAGATGTTTAGTAGCTATTGTTGTTCTGGTAATTATTTATAGAAGAGCGAAAAGTACGCTTTGATAATGTCAAACGGTCACGTTTCAGACTGGTCATCGTATTCAGATCTAGATCATCTTCAAATGGCCTTCCAAAATATACTTTTTTTCGTACCTAATCTTTGGTTGGGGCTCTTCTAATTAAGTGTGGACGGGGAATATACCTACCTCTATTTATCCGGTAACGTATGAATAGAAAGTCAGTCCTTCAATGAAATTATTCAGTTCGTTCATATCTTTTTATTGTTCCGAAAATAAAATCGAATAACTTATAACTTATATTTCTTGTAGATAATATTCAGCATTCCAAATAGCCATTTTGAATTAAGTTACGCCTCATCAGATCTCAAATCATGATTAATTTGACATAATCACCACCGAGTAATTACAATAAATTATTAATCTGTCTGTAATCCCGAAGTACTCGTGAAGACACTAATTTGTCGAGACTTGTTTCAGAAGTAGGAAAATCCAGTCTAAACATGAAGACTCACTGAAGATGACGCGGGCTACTTTTTTTTCCCTACCTATGCTGATAGCCTTGAGAGGCTACGTCAGCTTCACCCTAACGTGTATAGGTGAGCTCACGGGGCTCAAACCGGAGTATTGCTAACACTACCTAGCAGGAGCAGTACTTCGCAGAATCTTCCACCGGATCGGAAACGCGACCCACTGAGAGCATGTGCCGAGAAACTCAGTGGGCTGTGTCTATGGGTTAATTCGCCCGTTGAGCCCTTCGTCGCTAGCGACGGGTTCAACGAAGACGGTGACCGGGGGGGCTACTGTCGAACAATGAATCTGCTACATTGTGAGTATTCCGTTTTAACCGCGCACTCACTAGAGGGCGCTACATGGGATAGAGCAACGCCTTTGGATGCTAGTTCTAACTCTCATTCGCCCAGAATTAACGGTTTAGCTAGTTTATTTTTAATGCCACTCCAATCATTGAATGAGTAGTAACAGTAGTAATAAAATTCTTCGACTAAGCGATAGAAAATGGCACGCCCAACGCATTGTAATGTGATATAGTTTTCTATTTTACAATTCCGTTTGTCGCCGATAGACGGCGCTTGACGCAAAAGCTGAATCGCGCTATCGTTGTGTTACCCACGAAATTATATCACATATTTTGATAGTACATAAATCGGTGTTCAGACTTCTTACTTTAAGCACTATACAACCGCAACGTGTGAATGTGTTGAACGCGAGCTACATAGTAGGCGTAGTAAGGGGTGGAAGTTTTTTTTCGTTACGGAATTTCATGATTCCGCTCTCAAGCCGCGCTCAAGGCCCGTGATAAAATCTATGCAATAGCTTAAATTTAATGTAATTTGTTACAACTTAGATATCATTATAGCGTACAATGTTGGCTCTACCCTTTACCGCCGGATTCAAAATAAGCCACAGTTCTGAGAAGAGCTCACGAAGCAAGCTCAGTACTCTTGCTTGTTTTGTATTATTTTTAATATACTGAAAATAACAATTTCTTATATACTCGAAACAATAGTCATCTTGAAATGAAATGGTTTGAATCGAAAATCTCATTCCACATCAAGTAATTATTAACCATATAAGAAATAATAACAATATGCTGTGCTGTATAGGTTCATTGAAAGGTATCTTAATTTTTTTTTAAATACTTACACTTACGCACATAATATTAGGTGGTCACCGGAGTCCATAGTCATCAAAAACGTTAATTCCGTCACCCACCCTAAGACATGAGTTCTAATTCTGAATTCTATAGTGGATGCCCCATTACGCCCCCGAGTACGCATTAATTTACGAATTACAGAAATAAAGGGTGTTACCTCTCTGTACAGGCTCACAAGATGCCTTCCTTACCACCATTAATTACTGAAATTATATTTTTTGCGGATGTCGTTTTTACTACCTACACGATGTTATTCTTTCATCGTGGACGTTAACGATTGACATTTTGCAAAGCCTTGCGAATTATGAACAATAAAATGATTCCTAACCTCAATAATTAACACAATGCCGTTTATATAATAGCTGTGATCAAACCTATCATAAATGATACTGAATCAATTGAGTACGCCTTTGACCGTAATTAATAATTTTCAAACCATTTACTGTTTGCACTTTAGAACCAGCGCATCCGTGGTTCAGACAATAAATTTAAATGGTAAAATATTTTATTTTCTTCGAATATATTTTGCTTTTATAACATAATTCGTATCTACAATGATTGAAAGGTAGTTTTATAGGCACCATTACAATGAGCTTTACCTTAAATTTACGATGTCAGCAATAGATTAAAGTATTCGAAACATTGAATTGAAAATAATAAAAATATTATAAATATAATAAAATTATGCAAGAATGTAAATGTTAGTAAAGTCTGTAAGTAATTTAATTTACTGATTCGCATAAATTATGTTTTTAATCGTCTAGACCAGGGTTGAGCAACACGCAGCCCGCCAACCATTTCTAAATTTGAATTTATTTTATCCACTTTCTCCCATCAATTCGTTTTTCTGTTCTTTTCGTGTTTGTTTTTATCTCGCATTAAAATTTGTATATGAAATGTTTACTTTTTAGTTTTATATTTTTTTCTACTAATATTTATTATAAAATTTCGTTAATTATTAATAAGAGTAAATAACTGTGCGGCCCGCCAAAATAAAATTTAATTTGCCCATTGCTTAAAAAAGTTGCTCACCCCTGGTCTAAACAACGTAATATAATGCAAGAACTCGTGGCAAAAGACTGTTCTTCGAAACTTGCATCAGAAATAAAAAACAGTTTCAAAAGAACTATATTTAACAGTTTTGCGTCGACGATACAACAGCTATATACTCTGTCACAATTTAGGCTGTAGTTGTTTGATTTCTACAAATATTTAAGGGCAGCATTTTATCCGTCTAGCCTTTTTCCTCTTAGGGACTACAGCGCGGCATGTTCTGCAAGGTACACAACACGGAATGTCCTCTTCTTCACATTGGATAAGCTTGCAGCAATGCGTAGCTGGTTTCATCTTTGCCGGAGCGCGCGGTGTAATCAATTCCACCTGTCAATCAAACTTTGCAATAAGCATACGCGTGGATACTATGAAGCAATTTCACATCATACCTACGGTTATTGTGAAAGTCGCGATAATATGATTTCACGAATAGTGTGGCATAATAACACAATTTCAACTTTTATCATTCTATGCGACAGAGACAATTTACTAAACTTCTCAAATAAAAAAAATAAAAATAGTGAAATCATATTAATCACATTTTTCACAGAATTAGGCATCAAGATTATCCACACAAATTCTTTGTCTCTGTAACGGTGAACCAAATTTGAAATCTGTTCATGAATAAGGAAGTTAAGGGAGTTTTGGTTAAGATGAATGCCGACTATTTTAGCGCGTTTAAAGTTGATGAGCGCGATAGAAATTTCGTACTAAAATACCAGAGGATTATCTTTTAATCGGCAGCAAAAATTTTAATCTCCTAGATTTCTGGACGTTATTAGCCGATTTAAATTATTTGTTAAATACTTGTTCCTAACTTTTTTTTATTGCTTAGATGGGTGGACGAGCTCACAGCCCACCTGGTGTTAAGTGGTTACTGAAGCCCATATACATCTACAAAGTAAATGCGCCGCCCACCTTGAGATATAAGTTCTAAGGTCTCAAGTATAGTTACAACGGCTGCCCTGCCCTTCAAACCGAAACGCATTACTGCTTCACGGCAGAAATAGGCAGGGTGGTGGTACCTACCCGCGCGGACTCACAAGAGGTCCTACCACCAGTAATACCAAATCATATTTAATTCTATTTTTGTCAAAGCTAAACCACTGAATAGTCGCGGTACCACGCAATCGTTCTAACCAACCTCTATATTTCCAGTGCGATTCGGTTCATCAGTTTGCTTGCCTATTTTAAGTACAAACACGTCCTTGTCAGGATGCAAAACTTTTTGAGCATGTACTCCTTTGGGGGCGTCCTTAGGAGTTACATTGCAGACGTTGCACAGAGTTTCGTGAGCTTCCTTTTTACTATACGTGAGTTCGGAATTCAACGCTGTCCTGTTAGTGAGCGCCTCACAAATGTCGTCTGGTATCTGCGACATGAGAAGATAATTTAGAAAATCCACTGAAATGTGTTTGCCGTAAATAAACAATCAGTGTGCTTAGTGTGAGTTTTTTAACGTTCACGATAGCGTAAGAGTTTTAACACAATTTTGTAACACAAATGTTCACGATTCACTTCCACGGTGAAGGAATAACATCGTGTAATAAAAATCAAACCCGCAAAATTATAATTTGCGCAATTAGCAATTAGTAGGACCACTTGTGAGTCCGCGCGGATAGGTAGGTACCACCGCCCTGCTTATTTCTGCCGTGAAGCAGTAATGCGTTTCGGTTTGAAGGGTGGGGCAGCCGTTGTAACTATACTGAGACTTTAGAACTTGTATCTCAAGGTGGGTGGCGCGTCTATGTTGTAGATGTCTATGGGCTCCAGTAACCACTTAACATCAGGTGGGTTGTGAGCTCGTCCACCCATCTAAGCTATAAAAAAAATATATGTATGCAGTTGGAACAGTGCACCTAGCGGCAAACGTAGGCAAACGATCCCATTCCATACAAATATGAACTAACTTTTACGCTATCAAAAACGTTAGAAAACTCGCACAAAGCACACAGGAAACTTGATTTATTTCGTTCGTTGTGATCGGTCAAAAATATGAAGTATTCATGTAGAAAAGTCTTAACCAAAAATTTTATGAAAAAACACGCGTCATGAATATGTATTGGAAAAAATTAATCCAACATATTATGTAACTGAACTGAAAATAATTTAGTTTTGTTTTTGTTATCAGTGAGATAGGGACGTCATAATGCTCTATACGAATGATAAAGCAAATGTCGAATATAGTTATTAAGGATTTATTCATGACGATGCACATGTTTAGTTGATTTCTGATTAAAAATCACTTAGCATGCCATTTTTACTCACGGTAAGCCGTATTGTGAGGCACGAGAAGAACAACGTTGTGCCTATTTCTGCTGTAAAGTAATTTTTAGTTTCGCTTCGAATGGTGGAACTTAAGATAGTGGTTGTAAAATTTAATTCAGATTTCGACCTTATGTAACAAGTTGGGTGAGCGTGGTAACCGCGTCACATGAAGTCTCATAAAAATCAATTATTATTACAACCATTACACTCAAACCTGTGAATTTCTCAAGCCAGAAAACATAGTGATGCTCAGTCTTGATGAACCTACTTCTCGCACGAGGCACGTTCATGGTACCAACCGACCCCGCGAAATACATACATAATGTTGATTCAAATTTATTTTCACTTCGCTAACGTTTTGTTCAGTTTCTTTGGCACATCAAGGCCAGATAGTTAGTTCTTTGGAAAAAAGTGGTCTATATATGTCGCGTATGGACACGGATGGATATGATATGGATACGAGGATAAAATAATATTTTATTATTATTTGTTAACGATTTATTTTTTATTGCTTAAATGGATGGACGAACTCGCAGCCCGCCTGGTGTTAAGTGGTTACTGGAGACAATAGACATCTATAACGTAAATGCCGCCACCCACCTTGAGATATGAGTTTTAAGGTCTCAAGTAGAGTTACAACGGTTGCCCCACCTTTCAAGCCGAAACGCATTACTGCTTCACGGCAGAAATAGGCGGGATGGTGGTACCTACCCATGCGGACTCACAAGAGGTCCTACCACCAGTGTTTGTATGAATGTATGTATACTTGTTCTTTATGTGTTCCTTACCTATTTATTCGATTGTGATGAATTTGGTAGAGTTGTTGTTTGACACTTATTAGCCAGATAGGAATATAGCTGGTAGCCCGAAGGCTTTTTCAGCCTCGACAGGATTAATGTGCGAGCATTGGCTCAGCTAGGTGGGAATCGGAAGGGAGCGTCACCGAGTTTCATTACTAGCTAATTATAAAATGAATGAGTGAACGGAACCTGAAAGTTAAGTTTGTTCGCCGGTCCGTTATCTTCTTCCCCGGATAAGCCACAGGTCTCCGAGCAAATAGAGCCTTCATCATCGCACGTGCACTGTTGCTGAAGTTTCAACTGTGATGGTGTCAATTTCGGTGGTTTCGATGTGGTCTTCGGTACACGAATTTTAACCTTTACGAGAAAAACGTATTAGAGCATATTCTCATAAGCCTTGAAGTTACTGACTGGGTCTGAGACTGAGTCTAGTAAACTCCCGATCCTGCGGATCGAATGGTAAACAGTCGACGTCACCCAAATCACGTCATTTCGGATCATCCCGTGACGATAACCGGTGCTTCTAGGTACCCCAAGCACCGGTCGTCGTTCTCTTGGAATCTGTCGCTTGCGACGAGGGGTCGGGGAGTAAATTAGCCCACAGAGACAGCCCAGTGAGTTTCTCGCCGGAACTTCTTAGTGGGTCGCGTTTCCGATCTAGTGGTAGAGTCTGCGAAGCACGGTTCTTGCCAGGGTTCGTGTTAGCAACTACGTCAGGTTTGAGCCCCGTGAGTTCACCTACTTGCCCGGTTACTCTGATAGGGTCTCTCAAAACCATCAGCTTATGTAGGAAACCACAAAAAAAAAACAAAAAATCTAGTAAACATTGTAGTAAGTGAAAGTTATTGTTACCGCTAACAGAATAATCCAGATAAAGATAGAGATCTTTGAAAATTGTAATCTATCTATATAAATAATCTATCTAATATTTGGGGTCATGTTCGACAGTTTTTGTTAATTATTGTCATTGAGTAAATTTAGGGAAGTAACTATGTATATGTATTTTTCTTTACAGAATTAAATACTACTTACAACTCAACTATAAAAAAGAACTAAATTATAAGTAAGCGCACGAATTTAGAACTCAACTTATCAGTATAATATTATCAACTTTCAACAAATTAACAGTGTAATTTATAAAGAATAGAGACCTCATTCCCGTTGAAAATTGCACCGATTTCCTCGTAGGGCTTACGCTGCATGCTGCCCTCTTTTTTGCCCATTACAAGTCTATTTAATTCAAGTCTTTGAAATTTTTTGATCTGAATATATTATATTGTTAAGTGTTAGATTTTTCACGCACAATTTTGTAAATTGTTTTCGTTTTCCTGAATATTCTGCTATCGTGTCAGAAGTATAGACAAACGTATTTTAATTTTGAAGACACTTAATGAGTGCATTAAAAAGGTTTCTATTAGACCTCTGAAGTTATGGTGAAAAGATGAAAAAAATTAAAGTCATTACTATGTACATACGTTAGAATGGTAGAAGTTATACAGTTTCAAAAGCTAAAGTAGTTAACACGTTAATTGCGGGACCATTTTTGTAAGACTTTCAGCCAGTGCGTTTGAGGTCTTTTCGAGGCAAGATCGGACTTCTTTGCAGTCCGTATGAGACATGATAAGCCTCACAAAGGACCGTTTTTAACATGACTCAAGCCAATAGAAATCTGGACATAGTCGCCTCCTGTTTCGAGCGAAAGAACACGGGTATGACTGCCGCATCAGAGGATAGTCGCGTATGGGACCTTTTAAGCCGCATAACGCAGTCAACGCGTTAAGGAGTTTTAATGTTAACAACATCAGTATTCGTTCAACAGAAGAAGAAACAACTTTAATTGTGACCCAATCAGGATCAACTATAGTAGTATTAAAAAAATACAGTAATAAATTGTTTTCATTTTATAATTATCATTAATTGAAATCGTCGATTTGTAAATGTAAGCACACTATATAAAAGTTTACTGCGTAATATGAACCTGTTTCATTTTAGTTCAGTTTATAGTGTAGATTTTACTTACTGATAGCAAAATTTTCAGCAAAAATGAACCAAAAATCTGCTTCCTGGCACCCTGCGCACACAACCCAACATGTTTTCGTGATAACTTTTGACTACCATTTTCGGTCAGTATGTAGTCCGTATTTTTTCGGTAATTAAATAATTTCGTACAATATCATTGTTTATTGTTATTGCGTTACTAAGCCATTATTACATTTATTTATCAACACAATCTACACAATAATTTTTAGTGAAACCTATACAGATAAAGCTTGAATCCCAGAATTCTTTTTAGACCATTTAGGAATAGCGCAGCACTTTTTTCAAATGAGTCTTGGTGATGACGACACCTGCTGATTTATCATAGAAGATTGCGAAACTATGCATTTAATTATTTGTTAGTGAGAGGGCCTCAGGGGGATAAAAAAGGACCTTTCAAGCTATCCAGATCAAGATATTTCTTATCGCCACTGTTACTATTAGTTATTAATATTAGTTGCTGTTGTGATAAAAAAAATAAATTTATTCCTTTTGCACACAATTGAGACATAAATATCTAACAACTAAAATGAATAAATTTAATGTCATACGAACTTAACATTAAAAAAATTATAAAAATTGAACACTAGAGATTTATGTGAAACACTTTTTTTTGTTGACCCTATTATTGTTTATTTTTAATATATATTAATTGTTATTATGTAACTTTAACTAGTATGTAATAAAAACAAAAAAAACATTTGATATTTATTATAAATTTATTACAGACAGCCATGGCATTTATTTTACCATTGAGAAGTAACAAAATTGAAATAAACCACATCAGTTAAAGTTTACTTTTTCTTCTTCTTTGGTTTCATGCAGCAGCAAGGCGGTGGATTAGGGTCACATTGCGTCTCCCTAGTATCGAGACGAGTCAGCGCCTGCTTCTCAGGGCCCTTGGGTGTTACAAGCTCCAACTCCATTTTACACCTTCTGTCACCATTCGGTCCAATCTTCGCTACCTTAAATTTAAATAACCATTCTGATGTGCCTATCGAGGTGACTGTACATAAATGCTTATGTTATGGAAACTGTGTGTCTTGTCTGTGTGACTAAGCTAATAAAGATTTTACGAAATAATTGAAACTTCTTTAACGATTTAAATGTTAAGTTTACTATTTTTATTTGATTGATTCTAATGTTATGAACACTTCATTTTTCGTGGACACGGAATGTTGTGCTAGCTAGTCACCATCTGTTTTTTTTAATAAAAATATTTGTTGACTTTATATGTGTCTGTTTAAAATGAAGCGTAAATTAATGGAATTAAAAAAATTTAAAATTTCGAAAATGAATCGTAATTTTTTAGCGGTTCTTACTTTCGTTTACTTTTACTTTTCGAAATAGTTTCCCACACTATTTTGTCCGTTTACTAAAACATGCATAGAAAAGAGTCAACAACAGCAGAGTCAGAGTAGGGACATTTGTTTATATCCATCCTCTAGATGTAACGTCGAAATCCCGTAGTCGAAATCGTCGTGGCCTATGAGGCACATTTGCAGGATAGGAGTGTTCGTGCAAGATGCTTACCATCAGTGATATGCCCTGAACGCATCATTGTTTTCTGATAGATAAAAGCAGATGAGTAAGATTACCACGGTATTAGTTATAAAATATTTAAACTTTATGTCAAGGTTTTAAATTGAACTACCTTTAGAACAAAAACATCTTTTCGAGGATGCAAAACCGTCTGAGCCTTTGTAGCGTTAGGCACATTAGTTGGAACCAGTTCGCAGGCCCAAGGGCACGGAAGATTTTTTTTTAACGCTGATTTTAAATTGCCGTTAACTTGAGTACTTTTGGCATCCTTCTTACCAATTTTGTCGAACATATTCTTAAACTACGGAACGATAACTAAAATTTAATCACTGTCACAGTCATGTATTTTTCTTGATTTTCCTCTGTGAGTAGTTTGAAGTAATCAAAATTGATAGTTCATTAGCACTAATACATTACCTACAATAAGTTATCATTCAAAAAGGTTGTTTGAGTAATTACTGCATGTTTGATGTGAATTAATAGTTTCTAATTAATTAATTAATTCACGTAGTAGGTAAGACTAAACCTTTTTTACGATCGAATCTCGTGACGCTTATTAACGCGATGTTAATTAAGGGTTTATCGGAGTCCATGGACAATAAAATGTGAAGACCAAGCCCACTTTCAGGCATAAGGTAGAGTCTCAGTTTCACTATATATGAAATTGTTAGATGTATCTAAAGGCTTACGTTTTTTTATTACTGTATTATTTTATTTTTATAAATGAACGACATCTCAGTGCAGTTAAGTAATTACTCCCAGTTAGGAGTTCACGGACATTGTAAATTGCGCCACCTACGTTGAGACATGTTAATTTTCGACCTTCTGTACCTATTTCACAAATAAGAATGATATTTACTGCGAAGTCTGAATTCTAATAGCTTCAAGGATAAGACTCCCGATGGGCTCATTTACATCAAGCGATGTGACGACAGCTTGATATTCAAGTTCCTCGGGCTCAGTATTCAAAATTAGGTTTTTTTTTCTTCTAAGAACATTTGTATTTTTCACGTCTCCACGTATAACTTCCATGATGTGGGAAAAGCGTGTAATAAAATTAAAATCCCAAAGACTTATAATGTTAGTGCAAATAGTAAGTTTCAGCATTTGGCTATTTCCACCGCGAAGTAGTCATTCCAATACTATAAGACTGTGACAGTAGCTGTCATACAACAGAAGATATTTAATTTTAACAGATGCTTGAATCTCGTTTTAGATATTTTCAAGATAAGCATAAAAAAAGATCTAAACAACAACATTAGGACCGTCGGCTTAGCGAACAATTTCACCGGCTCGGTGGAAGATCTACACCTGTCGTTAAACCTACAAAAGAACTTCTACCTTATGTCTGAAGGTGCCTTCCAGTAACCACGTAATCATCGGATAAACCATAAGCTCGAGAATTACTTGATACAGTATAATTGCTTGGGATGAACCGCACATGCTCGTGTTTGTGTGGGTATCATGTACAAAAACAATAATATATCAATAAATAATACGTCGATCAAAACTTTTAATGTCTTGGTTACTAAGCATTTGTTATTTGACTATTTACAATTGTCATGGAAAAGTTAATTGGAATTTTGATGCTATTGGTAAATATCCATTCAACGGCGCATCAACACGAGGAGCAAGTACTTCTACAGCACTTAGGTGGCTTGAATGGTGAACCTGAACAGCATTTTCGGATGGGGCACGGAATAGGACAACATGCGATGCACGGACCTGGTATGCTTCTACAGCGTACAACCGGAAACGCTGATATGCGATTAAGGCAAGGCGACATCCGTTTTTTATGTGCTCTGATGCGAGGCTGACTTTTAGCTCTTCTCGTCTTTTTTCGTCCAACTGGACAGGATCGTAAACACGGAGTACTTTTACAAGGAGTGCTACACAGAGTGCTGCAACACACGCGCGGACTCTTACAGGGTGATGGAGAGCGACACCTGGGTATGATCGGGCATGGCTTGCAAGGTCGACACGTAGTTAAGCAGCAATACGTCTTTATGCACTTCTTGCTCGGAGATCGACAAGAAATTGGACCGCAAGGTCGCTTAGGTCCTTTGCAACTCTTTGTTTTACATCGTGAAGGTCTACAAACTATCATTTTACATTTAGGTACCCGCCCTGGTGTCGTGCAAGGTATAAGACATGGGGTTCCGCAAGGTGGTTGCCTATAAGGCGGTGGTGTCCATTCTAACATTAATTCATTTTTTGCGAGTGGTGCTCCGGTCATTTTTCTTACAACGAGTTCAAAAACACCACGACGTGGATTTGTCACTGTAGTCACCTTCACTGGCACATGATCTTCACCTGATGACGCAATTATACATTTCGGGCCCTGACATGGCTCTCTACCATGCACCGGACACGGTTCTCTTGGCCCTATTTTAATATGCGATACTGTAGCAACCATGTCTCCTTTGGTTCCAGAAACAGCTGGACATACGTTCTCACTTTTTTCATCTTTTATGGAGACTGCCTTACATGTACTAGTAGTAGCCGATGAACCTTTACATTTTCCTGTTTGGGCTGCCGCTGTATTGCTTTGAGATTGAGCTTGCACACCTGCTGTATTTTTTACGTTGGAATTTTTCTCACCCTTTATGGGAGCATGTTGACCTGAATTTTTGCGGTTACTTTTTGAATCTGAACTTCCCATTCCCACATTAAGTTTATTTTCTTTTTTATTTCCAAAAAAATATACGTCAGCGTCATGATTATTGCCTTGACGGAAATTTCTATGAGGACAAGTAGACAAAGTGCACGTTGACCAATTGTTAGAGGACGAACTAAGTGTGCTGGCGCCGTATATTCTTTCAGAATTGTTTTCTTTGCTTGCTTGTAAGCATTTGTTTATGGAAGCTGTTGCTTGTGAGCCAGACGTCCGTCGAATTTTCGAATTGTCCAGTAAAGTCATAAAAACCGTAGTTTCGTTCACATTGAATGGATTTACTTTTGAACTGGTCATCAATAATTTCGATGAATACCTACTATATAGTTTGGAAAATAAATTGTCTCTAGCTGAGTCGATCCTACTATTAGAAATTGATGTACTCAAAGATACTTCAGAATCTTCACTTGTATATCTCTCATTCGATAGTAGAGGTAACACATCATAAATATTGTTTTTGTTTTCAGGATAGAAGTTCCGTATTTTACTTCCAGTATCGTTTCGTCTATTACTGTTTTCAAATTCCTTATCTTTCTTGTTGTCTTTACAGATAATCTTCGACAGGCGACTCGATCCAGTACCTACGGTGATTTGCAAAATACATTTAAATTTTATTGAAATCAAAATGATAAAAAATATTTGACTACATGAATTATTTACATGAGTATTTTTCCGTACGGTTCCTAGCTTACATACTACATATATCCACAATAAAACTACATATGGTTGCGTATTAAATATATTATTTAATCCAAAAATACACCCTTTAATTATTTACATTGATTTACACTTCATAAACATTTTGTGCAGTCGTTTTTTTATCTAATTTTTTCGGCTTGTTTTTGGAGAACAGCAACTGTGTGATGGAGGTACACATTGAGCAGTACGAGTATCTTTAACAGGAACATTTTTTTCTCGTGTGGCCACGGGAGTTATGAACTGATACTCAAGTTTTGTCTTTCGACCAGGCATCTCAATCGTTTTACCAATTCTAAGCTTAATCACTTGCTTTGGAAAATCATATACTACTCCGGGATAACCTTCCACGTTGGTTGGCATTAATTGGCCTGGTTCATCCCTGGATATATCACCAACGCCATCGGAGTTAAAATTGAAATGAGCACGTTGTTTATGTCCCATACCACAAGAATCGGACGGTATTTGGAATATGACTTTGTTCCCGGTTGGGCAGCAATCTGTACAATTCGGAAATATACAAAGAATTAATGCTTTATTACAGATGTACACTGATAGAGGTCTTCGTCTTGTGAAAAATAGTAGTGTGTGACCTACTCTGTCACCCTGCACATGGTACAGTCTCGATCTTCGTCTCTGAGCCATGTGAAAGGTATCGTAATAGCTTGATTCATAACTATCGAACAGCAAAACGATAATAACGATTATCTTCTATTCTTGGGTTTTATTTTTTTTATCCTTGGCCTACCACAATCGCAATCAGGGTCCGATTGAATTCTGGTATTAACTTTCTGTACTGGTGGTTTCTTGTCTGAACCCTTGGGTGTGACGAGTTCTAATTCTAATTTACATTTTCTGTCACCCTGCGTAGCCGTTTTTGCTACTTTTAAAACGAAAACCTCCTTGTTAGGTAATTCTTGCTTCGTGTCACCTCGAGCCAAAGCAGCTTGACCGTGTTTGGAGGTTTGCATGCAACCCTCTGTTGTACATGTGAACTGAGTGCCTGCAGGTTGAGCACCATGACAACAAATAGCCTCACTAGGTAACGCTAAGCTTATCTGATTTTTGCCACAGGGTGGTTCGCAAGGTCCACCATCGGCTCCTTTGGTGTAGGGACATTGCATCGCACAGTGAGTTTGACTAATCTTTTTTATTATCGATGCATTTGCTGGAACCTTAATCTTTAATTCATTGCCTCCCAAATTTGTTCCTATTTCTTCAAATTGCTTGCTACGACCTGGCCAGCAATAAATAAATTCTATGCATTGAACTATTGTAATACGTATTACGGCGTCAACTTAAGTCAGCTTAATTTAATTGTATTTTAAACTGGTAAAAATTGTGGGTATCATTAAGTAAGTTAAGTATATCTATTAGTTTAAAAGTAAGAAGGAACTAAATACAAACCTTTTGGTACATGCAAACAATATTGATCAGTATTTCTACATGCCATTTGTTGTTTTGTGGCAGTTTTTGGACCGGAGCAGTAACATGGATCGTCTGGATCCTCACACGGCATGCTATTATAATGATCTTTTTCTGAAATTCATAAGTTACATTTTATTAATTAACTACAAGTTTTAAACTTCGTCATGATGGACCGCAAAGCATCAAGTGCATACTAATGATAAAATAAATAAATTACCTTCTGGACATGCTGCTAATTCAGTAATACCTTTCTTCTTAAATGCATTTGCTGTGCCACAAGCACAGGGGTCCTGAGTTGTTTGAAAATCTTTTCTAGGATTACAAGATCTATCAACGACAGAAGAATTTCCCGCGCTACTGAGGTTTGGTGGTCCGGCTCCTTGAAATCTAGTGATGATCAATTTCCCAAAACAGGATATACGAAGAAACATTATAATTTCTCCCGCTTCAACACCATCGGACCCGACAATGCGAAAAGCATCTTTTAATGCTTCGTAGCTGACATTACTGGGGTCTTCCAAAAACTTTTTCCTTGCCTGTACAAATTCTTTTGTCATGTCTATTGTTGCTTCTCCCATTACTATCTTTGTTGGTAAACAACCGCAAGGAAGAGATTTATACACTGTTACTTTTATAGGAAACTTGGACATAGCTTTATTTATATCAGCCTCTTTTAGGGAGAAAAGACATGATTTGCCGCTATTGAATGTTTTAACAAAAGGTCCACCACTTTTAACAACGCAAGCTCCTGGATCGTCATCGCATATCTCCAGAGGCTCGACCGATGGACACTCAATATTCACACATGTTCTAAAATCTTTGTCAGAAAAACAAGGGCTTTTTGCGAATACAATTTTATCAACCAACACTTCAAGAAGAAAAAGTCCATCATCTTGTTTAGCCATTTTCAACTATGGGAATGGGAAAAACAGAATTTTATATTTATATTATTTTGTAATATGTGGTTTTTACACTAATAATTTCGACATTGTGAAACAAAGAAATAATGACAGAATAATTGTCGACAAAATAATAAATACAAAAAGTTTTTAATCTTGTACCTAAATTACTTAAGTGTCGATCATCTTCGATCAACAACAGTGTACAGTACAGTAGAAACACCACAAAATAGCCAACGATGGTATGTTTGGCGGCACCTTAGATAGTGTTAAATGCGCCTCGTTCGGGTGAACAATCCTCTTTGAAGAAACATTGCTACCGGTTCCCATTTCGCAGCATTTCTTGTTGATGACACGCGTACCCTAGTTGTAGCAGCACCACTCACTAAAGAATGCATTCGTGTTGAGCGATGCACCGGTGTTCAAATCCCGCAGGCGGGTACCAATTTTTCTCATGAAAATTAAATAGGTACGTACTTAGCAAATGTTCACAATAATAATTGACTTCTACGGTGAAGGAATTATATCGCGTAGTAAAAATCGAACCCATAAAATTATAATTTGTGTAATTACTGGTGGTTGGACTTCTTGTGAGTCCGCACAGGTAGGTACCACCACTCTGCCTATTTCTGCATGAAGCAGAAATGCATTTCGGTTTGAAGGGTGGGGCAGCCGCACGAAGAAAGCGTTAAGGTATGTATACCTTGCGTTGCACAACAGACACAGAAATGAAGGGACTGATAAAAATATTCTCACTTGTGATTAAAATTGACTTCTCTTTGATAATAGCCGCTTAGGTCATCATATTAGTTAGACCCTGGCTTAGCACCTAGTAATCCCCCAAACGAAAATTTACTCTTAAAAAGTGATGGTTACTAAGCATTACTGCGGATAGACTGGTAATACCAGTCTTGGTTAATCGCTCGTCCCCGCTGCTCCTACCCGACAATACAAGTCATGACCGGACGGACGTATGCAAGTTTTGTAGAAAGTCACCTTATTTCGAAGAGACAATTTACTTCGCTTACAAATCATCAGATAAAGTCGTCCGAGTATGAACGCCGCTCGGTCGGGTACTTTAGGTGGGGACGAAACGTCATCTCTCTATTGAGGGTGACGCTTAGATAATAGGCCATCGAGGCCCACGGTGTGGGTTGGCCAAAGAGGGTGATAGGACGAATGACATTCGTTTTACCCCAGATGATACGGACTAGTACGACACTTTTTGCACTTGCTGCATGACCTAACAGATGCGACGTTCGTTTTTATTTATTGCATAGATGATTGGACTAGCTCACAGCCCACCTGGTGGTAAGTGATTATCGGAGCCCATAGACATCTACAACGTAAATGCCGCCACCCACCTTGCGGTATAAGTTCTAAGGTCTCAAGTATAGTTACAACGGCTGCCCCACCCTTCAAACCGAAACGCATTACTGCTTCACGGCAGAAATAGGCAGGGTGGTGGTACCCACCCGCACGGACTCACAAGAGGTCCTACCACCAGTGAAAACCACCAGTCCAACACTCATATAAATATTAGCCTATCCATTAAGTAAGTTTTCTACATGGATACCAAGTTTGAAGTCAATCGGATGCACGGGTCAGTAATTATAACGGAACACCCGTAAAAACCACTGTAGATTTATATATTAGTATAGATCTCTTTCAGATAAATATTGTTTACCTAATCGAGGATGGGTTAAGCCAAAATCCACATGTTCATCTTTCAACAGTATGAATGCTACAACCCACATTGAGAGATGAGGTCGAAGACCCTATAAGTGGCTATTCTACCCTAACATTCAAAACCAAAGTTATTACTTCGCCAGAGAAAACGTAGGTAAGTTGATGGTATATAACTGCATTAGCTCAAAGTACCAAAAACTACATAAATAAATGAGTAGTCCAAGTCAGTAATTTTATTTCGAAAATTTCCGCAAAATACAATCGTATGTAACAGGTGGATAATTCTCGTAATACCAGTTGCAAGCTTCGTTTTGAAATGGACGCCCTACCCTGAAAAATACGCATTGTAATAATCATAAACGATTTTTCATTTCAATTTAACTACGTTTGTCTACGATAAAAGATTTCGATACTTTTAAAACTACGCTGGCATGTACCTTTAGGACTAATAATGGAACGTAGCCGAGAGCATACAGGGTTGTGTTATCAAAATTTGTCTATTAGAGTCGATAATCTTACTGTGGCATCTAAAATTAATCCTATTAACAGAAAACATCGATTCTGATGAGTTACAGACACGCGAACCAACCTCGAGCTGTTCGTATCTATTACTATAACTCATATGTGGTAGTATCATCACCTCAGCTTCCCTAATCAACTCTCCCTCTAATTTCTATGTATTACTATTGAAGTCATCGTCTTGCGAGTTTCATTCGTAAAATCATCGTGCGCTGCGATAGGATGGCTTTTCTTCTAATGCAATCTCTACTTTAACCTCACGTGTCGTGACAAGCAATGGTATTCACGCTGTGCATATAATTGCCTTTTAATACCACGTGGGCTTTTAACTCCTCTGTGCATGCGTAACAACATTTTTCTTGCATTTTTTCCCTACCTATGCTGATAGCATTGAGAGGCTATTTTTGCTTCTTCTTGACATTTAGGTGAGCTCGGGGCACTCAAACCGGAAATGTTGCTAACATTGGCCCTAGCAAGAGCAGTACTCCGCAGAATCTAGCCCCGGATCGGAAACGCAACCCACTAAGAAGATCCGGCGAGAAACTCAGTGGGCTGTATCTATGGGTTAATTTTCTCGTCGAGCCCTTCGTCGCAAGCGACGGGTTCGACGAGTACAGTGACCGGTGCTTGAGGTACTTAAAAGCACCGCTAATGGATCAGGAGGATCCGTAATGACGTCCGTAATGGTCCACAGGATTGGGTATGTAAGTTCCGGTGGCCACGACAAGTGGGTTTTCGTGTCGTGCCGCCTTCTCAAAGTGGCGCAATGATGCCGACTGTATTCGATATCGAAACGAACGATTCGACAAGAAGTCTCGAATGAGGAACACGAGGCTGTCTGGCACTCCCATGTTATACAGTGTGTAAATCAAACCGTTATGCCAAACTTTTACGAAAGCATTTGCGATGTCGAAGAAGAGAGCTCCGGTAGGGATTGATTTCCGCCTATTTAGCCCTATTAAGATGTGCTCCGTGAGGCGGTGCATTTGTTGTATGCACGAGTGTTTGGCGCGGAACTCAAACTGCTCGTCAATCAATCTTTTTGGACGCGACGTAGTCCCAGAGTCGTTTCCGAAGGGAGGAGACTAATCGGACGGTGACTAGCGGTTTCATTTTTCGATTTGCCCGACTTATGTATACCGATAACGTCCGCTTCTTTCCACACCACAGAAAGATACAGCTCATCATAGCGGCATTTAAAATGGTAGCCAACATTGTTATCAGTTGGACTGGTAAATTTTAAGCGCTCGATTGCCGATACAGTCGGAGCCAGGTGCCTTCGTAGGTTGAAGGTTGTGGATCGCTTCATTTACTTCCTTTGTGGTAATGGGGGGTAACCCGTCCGAGGGCGGCAGGGTTAGTCGACCTCCCTGTCGACTAACTCGGTGTGTTTGGGGTCCGCGGTTTGAGTACTGGTGGTAAATTGTTCTTGCAGTGCATCGGCTCTGCCATGTCATCGTCATCGTAGGCCGGTTAGCCTGAAGGGCGTACGAGGGGAGACACAGTAAGAATAGTTTCGGACTTGAGGGTCCTAGCTGTTCGCTAGTATGCTTGGTGAGAGGGCGCGAGTTCTAAATAACTATCCCATTTCTCATTTCAGGCGTCGTTTAGGCGGGATTTGACTTTCCCTTTTTTTAGCACACACGTAACGTCGATACGTATAACTAATTTAAGTGTATTTACGGGAAGTACTAGAGAAACATGTTGAATGAAATAAATAAATTATACTCTGTCATTAATAAACGTATTTCTTCTTTCGTCATGTTAGCAGCGACATCGGGATAGTCGCGCCACCGCTTTTGCCCTGGATCTTTTGCCCAGGCCAGTTGAAATGGACTCAGTCCTGGCACATTTAATTTGGTACAATCTCGGCATTGAGCACGTATTGGCTGTAAATCACACATAAAAACTATTTTTCATACGAAACACCTAAAGTGAGAGTTCAAAAAGCAGTGCTAAGTTTAACGTATAGATCTTTAAAATAATATTTTTGATGTTGTTTGGTGTGGTTTTTGAATGTTCTATAATATTGCTAATTTAAAAATGCTCTGAATTGGTGCATTAAGGATAGGATTCTAATATTAGGATAAGAAACTATGGGTACCTCAAGTAACTACTTTTATAGTCGAATATCAGATGAGGTATCCCCAATATGTGCTTGTAGCTTAATCTAGTTTTTATATATTTATTTAGGTCTAGCCCTAATTGATCTTATTCAAGATATAGCATATTTAATGGACACACGTCCTGCTACATATTGCTGCCATGAATCGCTTGTGCGTTTTGATTTGAAGAGTAAGTAGTTTGATAAGATGCTCATTAGACTCATTACTCAACTCTGAATTAAAAAATAATTTTATCTTATTACCTTGTTACTATGTTTTTGTTTTAATCCATCGCAAGCATGATCGCGACGATATTTTATACAATCCAGGTCGTATTGATACGAACGAGGAAATACATCTTGATGATCTATAGGTACATAGAGAAACAGAATGATTATTCTCTGAGATTCAGGAATGGGTTAAGAAAAATACAATATGTGGCTATCTGTGAATGTAACCAGTAGATTTGCAATGTATTTTTCACTCGCATTGCTGAAGTCCACGAGCGATAGTTACCATTAACCATCTAGTTGGCACTATACTAATACTCTGTTTACGAAAACAACAAGAATATAAAAAAAGATTGAAATTGAAATTTACCGAAAATTATGACTGACATTAACTTTGCCATTTATGAAGGTACACTAATATTTATGAATCTAAATGTAAATATTATACGTGGTATAACAGTTTCAGTCGTCATTCCATAGCTGTTATAAGCATCATGGAGAACGTAAGCATTCGATCCTGGCTTGTCAACCCAAAAAGCTTTGTCTTTCTGCACCATTCTCTCTATCACCGGACCCGGCAGTTCATCGATAGTAGGCCTATGAAATTTTACGTAATTCAATTAATAAATACTAACTAATAACGACGAGTTGGCTGATTGTGTTCATAAAACAGCCTTCTTGTAAAACTAATACCTACGTAATTTATGAAGCATAAATCATAATATATGATACAGATTTAGAGTACATACGTGGTTGCTTTGCTGAGTAAATGAGCGAATTATAACTTCAACACATTTAATTTACCCGAAACTTTACAAAGACTGATGAGAAGTAATGCATGTTTTTTTTATAAACAATGTCTAGTTTTTTCATATAACAGTATAGTATATACAAACTTGGGCGGTATTTCGGCAAGTTCTCGCGTGAGTGGCTGTAAAAATTTTCCAATTGTCCTCTGGGTTAAACAAGGAGGTCGGCCTGGGGTTAAACTTTCATCAGTCAATACTGTCGATGAAACATTGTCCAAGACGTATCTGTACAAGCAAAATAAAGTACGATGTTATAATACTCAAGATTTGCCTAAATACTTGCTTCCAATTCCATTTTATTGTCGTATAAAATGGCCAAATAGGCGTTAAGCTGTTAAGGTTTGTTTCAGGTTTTTTATTATTATTATTAAGCCAAATTAATATCTACGCGCTTTCTTCATCTAACAGAAACGGAAGCTATTTTCAAAATTAATCAATAACTCTGCCGAATCTCTCTATCGAAACTTTCTATTATTTTTCAGTTTCACAATTGACACAATGTTTTTCTCCGGTCCTTATTTTCAGTGTCAAGCCCGGATCATTATTGGCTTCACTAACAAGTCACAATATAAATGCGATATATTTCGTATTTGTGTGATATAGCACGTAAATGCAGAGCTTGTTAGGGCTTGGTCAACTTGTGTAACGTCTATTTTAAAACCTGATATTTTTATCAATGTTGCAACAGCTTCAATGTTACATTGTAAGTATAATCAAACGATCTTGTGTTCACGGTTCAGATATAAGAAAAACAAGGATTAGTTGTTGCACGTGCAAATAAAATTACATACAATCGGAAGTTTGGTTAAAAGCGATCACGTCTAATCTTGTGGTTATTGTAATAAGTATTAAGTTAATTATTATTAAACCCGTCTTCTCTGAATAACGTCATTACGATTTAGAAATTACCTTGAGAGTCCTTAGAACTCATATCTCAAGGTGGGTGGTGGCATTTCAGTTGTAGATGTCTAATCGCTCCGGTAACAACTTAACACCAGGTGGGCCGTGAGGTCGTCCAATCATCTAAGCAATAAAAATAACCGATCATAAATAATATATAATGTACGTTGTTAGGGGTGGGGGGGGGGGCATGAGGACAAAAGGACATGAGGACTATTCATGCAGAAAAAGTTTTATACTCGAGTTCTTTTTTTTTTCTTCATTAACACGAATTAACACATTCACTGCGGCCGCCTAAAAACTAAACTTGCTGCTAGTGCGGTACAAGACAAATACTGCCCGTACCCTTGTTGCTTGATATGCGTTACGGCTTCTATTTTGCCGTAACAGAATAACCAAGACCTAACTTCTAGGGTTCCTACAGACGTGGAAATTCTTCGTATTAATTTTTTTGACATGTCATATGAAAAGATAAGTTCAAAGGACAGTATTATCGTCAACAGCTCGAAGACAACCATTGACTGAGAGGACATCGACCGAGAAAGGGTTATCTGTACATCAATTGCCTTATGAATGACGGAGCATCACTTGAGAACGTCTCAACCGATTTGACTAATTTATTTTTCGATTTGTCGTAGTTGTGAAAACAAGGTTTGTATGAAGCATGGTTTTTGAATATTTTACGGGAATTTCTTCATAGATTTAGCAATTCTTATAGCGCAGTGTGCTTGGAGTTCACTAGTGTGAAATAAAATAAAAATAGCTCCCTTGAACAGTTTACAAATTTACAATTTACTTTTACGAAATATCGCCAACTTACTTTTCGGGGTCATATGAACCTAATTTGGAAATATTGCTTCTAGGATCAGTTGGATGATTTGTCGTTTCCATTTTTACGAAATATTGCAGATAGTTTGAACGTAAAAAAAGTTCTTTTTAAATAATTTCATAAAAAAAACAATGGCTTGTGGCTTAATTATATCTTAAATAATAAGTGTATTTATTATCTATGGCATACATGAAGCACATACAACCAGGCAAAGAGGTTAGTCGACCTTACTAAAATAATCCAGAACTTAAAACTAAGAAAATAGGACATTCGTTTTCTATTATGCTTATTATTGATTTAGATGGGGAGATTTAGATGGAGATGGGGAATTACATGGGTGAACGAGATCATTAAGTATCTAATGGAATCCGTAGACATCCCAATAAGACTACCGGCATCCAATTTGAGACGTCTTAAAAAGTGCGTCTTAAAAATAAATAATAACCGCGCAATACAGAGTACAATTCGCGCCCAGAAATTTTTTTTTATTGCCCTATTAGGCAGACGAGCATACGGCCCATCTGATGGTGAGTGGTTTCCGTCGCCCATGGACTTCAGCAATGCCAGGGGCAGAGCCAAACCGTTGCCTACTGTTAAGTACTCTCCACAAGTTTCGTTTGAAGAACGATAAGTCATAGTGCTTGGGCATAGTGTGCGGGTCATAGTGCATGGGCATTCTTCCATGAAGACGGAACCCTGTTAGTGCAATAAGAAAAGCGATCCAAACGCGTTTGCGCAGGCGTAGCTCAGGGATGCACGTTTTCAGAACCACTACGGGGAAGCCGTCTGGCGCACTCGACTTATGAACGTCCAGGAGTCAGAGCTCCCGCCTGACAGCACACTGTGTGAAGCAGATATCCGGCAGGGAGCTATCACACCAGGGGATGTTCGGTGGTGTGGCACTCCCGTCGTCCACAGGCGAGTTCGAGGCGAAGAGTTTGACCAGAATGTCAGCCTTCTCTTTTGCACTGTAGGCCAGACTGTCATCAGACTTGCGCAGTGGTGGGAGACTAGACCTGCAAAAGTTTCCTTCTGCAGCTTTGGCGAGCGACCAGAAAGCACGGCTCCCAGAGGGATAGCTCTTTAGTCGCTCGCCAACTCTAGCCACGTGCTCCGACTCCGAATTCGCCGGCAATAATCTTCTTGTAGGATCTGGAAGCGGCGTTATATTTCCGCCTTTCTCCTGAGACGTTAGGAACCCGACGTCTCCTGGCATCATCCCATGCTACGTATGCGGACCGCTTGGGGTGTGCAGCATCCCTACTGGCATTGTTATAACAGGGTCTGCTGCGACCCCTAACGGGCACCTCAGAGCAGATTAGTAGTGGAAAAGCAGAAGCGCCTCCATGGGTAGGATGCGTAAAATTCACACAATCCATCACAATCTGCTGACATATACTGCCAAACTCTTCTTCTTCTTCGATGCCCGGTCGGCGTTTGACGACCAGGATGAGAGAGTGGTACGGCAGCACGGAAAAGGCAATGATCAGACGATCCAAGCAGAGCGTCGACCACCACACTGTATCCGGCCGGATCCATGGTCAGCAGAAGGTCCAACAGAGACAGCTCGTGCCCCTCGATGTCTGGGGCACGGGTGGGCTGTGTCACCAGCTGGAAACTCTCCGTCAGAAACAGTAGGGTAGGCTGCGCCATCTCAAGGTGGTGGTGTACGGCGTCAAGGTTGCTATGTAGACCCCTAACATTGCTGAAATCCACATTAAATGTGGAATGGGGAATCGCCGTTAAAACCCTTTTTCTTATCTTGACCTTCATGATAAATGTTTTTGGAGAGTAGGATAGGGAGAGGTAGGACGTTCTAAGTGAAATCATGACAACACCTGAATAAAGAGGGGAACACAGTGTGTAGTCGATCACGGGTTGCGTGAGAGACTGACACAGGACATGGAAGGGCCCTCTGTCCGCCCTGCGCACGATCGCCGGGATCCGCTTCGGTCTCTGACTCCGGCACGACGACCGCACGACGGAATTTTACACCGGTTGGCGGTTGGCGCGACAGCTTCTCGGGGCGGAGTTTAGTAGTGATACCCGGGTCCCGTGATACCCGCCGGTCCCCTACTGACCGGCGGGCGGCGGCGAACACCGTTTTACTGGGTCTCCCTATACCCCAGTCAACAACCTGGTTTCGCGAGTTCGCACGCACGTCTGCTCCGCATGTTTCAGGTATCATCAGGATTCACCTCCAACAAGGAAGAGGAATGGGAAGGAATAAAACTGGCTCTCCAACCCACACGCCGGAACACAGCTAGGCTATTTGGCGGCGGACTCTAGTTGAAGGGTAGTCGCCAGCCAGTCGGACTAGGTCCTACCACCGGTTACGTTTTCGGCTCCCGTATAGCACCACCCAGGGGTTACTTGTAGGGAGCCGCGGGTTAGACCTACGGAAGCGGGAAGCAATCAGCCCGCAAAAGTTCTAGGGGCAAGCCAAGGCTTTTCATACACAATCTTAAGCAACCCTCTATAACTAATTTTGTTCAAGTAATATGTGATTGTTTTTAGGTTAATACAACTGGATACCTAATATCTACATATACATCAACATGAATACACTATTGAATTTACCCTTTTATGTATGAACCGTTTAAGGTCGATTGTGTTAAAGTCGTCAGAGGCTGACTTTTATTTATTAAATAATTAAATAACAATATAAATGACTATAAAACACATAAGAAAAAAAAACACATTTAAAAAAAACAAACAAGGAAATTAAAGATAATGAAAATAAAATTCCATTGAATATCCATAATACAGCTCAGTGTGGATCGTGGATCTTAAATTTATTGTGAGGATAGGGAAGCTGGCAAACAAATATGTCGATTTCATTTGTCAGGGAAGTCATACGATAGACAGAAGAGTGCTGGCAAAGATGAATGTACATACATAACAGGAAAAACAATAGAATACCAGCAATAAATTTTATTACCCTAGATTCTAGGGCTAGGGTAATAAAATTGACCTCTAGGGCCTAGAGAATGTAGATTTTTTAATTCTAAATAATCCGAAAAACCAAGAATGTAGTTTAGAACGAAAAAAATCTCAAATTCTCAAACTTTTATTTCGCAAGCTATACCTAGTACCTTGCTTTTTAAAAAATTATAATGCTAGGCCAACAGGATGTAAGTGCTCTATAATTTTTTTATGAGTGACTAAATATAATTAGGTATATCTTGTGATTGTGTTTACTGAGTAGCTTGTGATTTTAAGGATTCCTACCGTCGTAAATTAAATTAAATTAAATTAGGAATTAAAATTAAATTCGCATTAAATTTCAATTTGATACCTCTAGCCATTTCTATGAATGTTGGTTCTAATTGGTGAACAGGCAGGTATACATACAAACAACAACGTTCTCCAATAACGGTTTTATTCTGTTTGAGGACCGGTGGCCTCCACAAGTAAATAATAAATAACAATCTAACAATCACAACAAGCTTTTCTTCGAAAAGGAATCTTAGTTTTTTTTTTTTTATTGCCCTTTTAGGCAGACGAGCATACGGACCACCTGATGGTGAGTGGTTACCGTCGCCCATGGACTTCAGCAATGCCAGGGGCAGAGCCAAGCCGCTGCCTACCGCTTAATACTCTCCACAAGCCTCGTTTGAAAAAGGACATGTCATAGCGCTCGGGAAACACCGTGGAGGGGAGCTCATTCCATAGTACGTGATGGTTTTATTTACTGTTAAAAAGCTATAGTTTGCATGTGCTTTAAAACCAATTGCGCCAAAAAAAGGATTGCGTGTCAACTCTAGAGTGAACTTCTACCACTCACACCATTAAAATGCTACCATTGAATTGTAATAATGTACCTACTTTTTACCAAAAAATCGGTGATTTTGCAAGAAACTAGACCAATTTTCAATTATTTGTTTTTATTCTATATTATTTAAGATTTACTCTGTAATTAATTATGTACGGCTTAATTATTACTAATCTTATCCCTGAAATTCTGAAGCACATACCCTTCACTTTAGCGAAATTTGTTCTCAAACAACATAAAAGCTTACCTCGAAGGCCTAATTTTGACAAAGCTCTCTCTCTGAAGGATTTATTATTTTTATTTTTAAGGATTTATTATTTTAGGTAGGCGATCGAGCTCATGGCCCATCTGGCGTTAAATGGTAACCGGAGCCCATAGATATCTATAGCGTAATTGCCACCACCTTGAGCCTGTGTTAGGAGTTGTAAGGTCTCATAGTTTATAGTACAACGACTGCCCCACCCTTCAAACCAAAACGCATTACGGCTTCACGGTAGAAATAGGCAGGACGTTGGTACATATCCGTACGGACTTAAAAGACGTCATACTACCAGTAATTATGGAAATTATAATTTTGATGGTTACACGGTGTTATTCCCTAGCCGTGGAAATCAATCGAAATCATGTGATAAATGCAATAGGCACTGATTTAAAAACTGGTACCTGCCTGCGGGATTTGTACACCGTTGCATAGCTTAATACGAATGCAACGGGCATCTTATCCTTTAGGCCACGATTACTTCTAAGTCTGCTTAGATGATATTGCGGCGCACCGCTTATAGCATTGTGAACCAAACTAAACTACATTAAAATAACTTGGCCGGACTCAAGATAGAAACGCATTTCACGCACATCTAGTCGTCTGGAAAGCAAATCAGACAATCTGTTTTTATAATTTTGTTACATGTGATATCTCCAGTATTGACTAATGTTGTATTTATTAATTAAGATGTGTTTGGATTTGTACAAACTCCTGCAAGAATTTCAAGCTAGTTAAATGAGTCCACAAATACCAACAATACACACAAATACAAGATAAGTAATAAAAATAACTTTAAAAAAGTGCGGGCTCAGTATTTTAACGGTGAATAATCAGAAATTAAACACGTTAGTCTTTTAGAAAAATTGAAACAAAAAGATAATATTTTTATAGATTGTGCTTCTAAATTATTTGATAACTGCAAACGACCTTTCACTTTGAAATAAATCCTAGCCTCAAAAGCCACACAAAGTCCTAGATAAATATTTTCATATAATGTTTGGGCATTGATAGTGTGTATTCAATATTTACAGAAAATAACATAAAAAAGATTATGTCACATATACGAAGCACTCGTTAACTCTAAACGCATAGACGGAGAATTAAAAGTCTGCGCATGTAGACAATTAAATAGCAACACCATGGCAACACCAAATTATCACTCAAGTAGGTAGTAGAGCAAGGGGAGCACAGATTATACATGGGGGGAGTATGAGCGAAGTTTACAAGTTTTAATGACTCATTTTTTATTTATTAATCATAATTTTTCACGATTATGTCTAAAAATATAGTATTTGAAGGCTGGTTAACGAAATCACCACCTACGAAACGAATATTTCGAACGGTAAGTTAATTTTGGCTGCTTTGAAACTTTGTTGACACTATTTGTGAATGTATCCTTTCAATGTGGATATAAAACTTTCAGGTTTCTTGCGATCGTTTGTCTGTATTACGAGAGTGTAAATTTTACTGATCTATATATAACAAAAAAAATATGTTAATTTTACAGAAATGGCAAAAACGGTGGTTCGCTTTGCGACAATCGGGCGAACTCCCGGGTCAGTATTTCCTAGACTACTATTCAGACCGAAATTGCAGGCGACACAAGGGCACTATCAATTTAGATTTATGCGAACAGGTATGTTTTTACTCAATGACTTGTTGTCAATGTTTATGTTCTATATACTCTGCGCGAAGCACAGCGAATTGATTATTTCATTTTTACCACTACAATTTTATCAAAACTTTTATTATGAGAAATCTATATAATAACTAACTTCTATTAACCATATTTAAAGAAAAAAAACAATAATGTTATACAAAGGCATATTTAACGAGAAAAAATTGTAAACACAGACTTTAAGGTTATTACTTATACATACAGGATTTCATTTATTCTAATAAATATCTATATTACGAAGAGAATTCTTATGTAGGTGAAAATAAACAGTTTTGTAAGTTATACTGTTGAGGGCAATAAATAAAGCCCAATATAGAAGGTGTCGGTATTGTTTAGAAAAAAAGCAAAGAAAAAAAGCATTCATTTTCAAATGAAAATAGTATTTTGTTATCGTGCATCAATGCATGTTAACTTGCATTGATTTGTAATGCTAAAAATATCTACATGACACATTTTTTCTTGTACAATTTTCCTCATTAAACCAATATAATTATTTCATTTGAAATTTCATAGCTCTAAACCTTTGCAAAACTTCTGTAACACAGTGAAGAACTATCCTAAAAGTAAGAGAAATAACTATCTGATGAAATTATCACTATTACATTTTATGAAGTATTATAATTAATATATTTGTGCATACGTATTTATTAAGCATTTATACATACCCTGCTATTCATCGATTTAGCTAAAGGTATAATATGATTTTTATGAACTGACTTTTTAACAATGCTACAGCGAGAGGTAGAATGTTGAATATATTAAGAGTTCATATGCAAATGTTTACTGAATATGCCCCATGATAAAGAGGTCACAAGATACTGCATATACAATGTCTTTTGGCATGTTTTATTTAGTAACGGATGTACTTAATATAATCCCTAATTTTGTATGGATCTAGATGCATAATTGCATATTTTTGCTTAGCTAACAATACCACGCAAATCAAATTCATTTAGGATTTAGTAGATAAAAAAAATTCTAAGGAGTTTATAAGATTCAAATAATGTTTCCATAAATAAATAGACACATCACTTATCTGTAAAAATTCAGTTTCCATCTTTTGCTCTGTTAAAAAACGATTATTGACTTGTGCGGTCTTATTACCGTGGTGGTTTTAAAAACTGGCTGTGCGGCGTTAGCTTAGAAAAGTACCAGTTCACATCCTTTTGTGGGTGTTACTAAAGGAATCTTCATAGAATGTATAGTAGCATTCTCAGAGATCATAACCAGGGCAACTCAATTTGGTAGACGGGATGAGTCTTTGATGGTAGGGTATATGGAAACTTGCATTGATTAGTAATACTTTCGTGTCTATTTCTGCTGTGAAGCAATTATGTATTTTGGCTTGAAGAGTGGGACAGACATTATTTTGACTCTTTATGTCTCAAGGTTGATGGTTATATTCACTTTATGATATCTAAAGAACTTTGGTGACTACTTAACATGAGGTGGGCTGTAAGCTTGTTACTCATCTACATATTTAAAAATAATTGAATATGAAAGGACTGTGGGAAATTTATTATTAACTATTTTAAGTGTGACACCATCAAAATAATGAAATGCAAAAGTATTTTTTTTTCACTTAGCTCTCTTTACATTACGCTTGTAAACTGTCCCATGATCTAAAACAAAACTAGACGGCGAGCAATGCCCCAATGCAATGTACATAAAAATATTTTTTCTCCTACCTACGCCGAAAGTTCGGCTTTCCTCCCGCTGTACAGGGAAGAAAGTGTAACTTTTCCTCCCTTGGTACTAACAAGTGCGCATGCGCGTTAGTGTCTACGTTTGCTCTCACGCACCTAAAATTCTCCGCCATTGTTGTGCTCGGGTAATTTGCAATATTGTGTTTAGTGTAAAAGTGAAATAAACAAAAGGCAATAAAATTTAATAGTGAAGTATTGAACAAAGATGAGTTCATCAGACAGTTCTTATTCAATTAGTAGTAGTTTATTTAAAAATTAAAAAACCGTTAAATTGTTTTTTTATGAGTAAGAGGTGGCTCCGCCCCCCCCCCACCTCCGCCAGGGCTTCGCCCCTGGACCCCGGCTCGGTACTCCACGAACTTTCGGCCTCGTAGGAGAAAAAATAGTATGTGCACCGCGGGAAAAAAGTAGGACATTTCATCTCCCGTGTTTGCCACCCGAGCCGAATACGCACAGGAGGAAATGTCCTTCTTTTCTCCCTTGATGCACAATGTACTATACTTCAGCTATATTGTGCATCAGCCGATTGTCACTATTACCGTTGCATTCATATAGAATACTAGCGACCGCCCTCGCATCGCTTTGAAAACATTAAATTTTATTATTGATAGCTGAGTCCCGCGGTTATTGTCGTATCGCGGGTGACGCCGCGGGGCGAAACTAGTCTAAAAAAAGTAGCCTAAGTTACTCCTTATATCATCAGCTACCTATCAGTGAGTCTCGTCAAAATCGGTCCAGCTGTTCCAGAGATTAGCCAGAACAAACAGACAGACAAAAATTGTAAAAAATGTTATTTTGGTGTATGTACCGTAAATATAGTCAGTCATATGCATGTAGTAAAAAGCGGTTATTTCAATATTACAAACAGACACTCCAATTTTATTTATATGTATAGATTATCAGGATTAAAATCATTAGCCTCTTGTCACAACACCTTGTCACTTTTTGTCAAACTGTTTCCTTGTATGTACCAGGTTTGTGATGTCACAAATGTCAAAGATCTAAAGTTAAAACTTGTTCCTTTGTAATAATATACTGCACCATTAACTAATTACTTAGACTAGGGAAAATTACTGAGAGAACTTTACCAAATTTAAAATGCACTAATAATATCCTGCACTATTAACTAATTACTTAGACTAGGGAAAATTACTGAGAGAACATTACCAAATTTAAAATGATACCATTAGTTTCATTTGTTTCATTCATTTTCTTATATGACTGACTGGAGGTTTTGAAATTAATAATACATATATAAATGTAATTTTGACTTGAGATAGTTTACTTTAATCACTGGAAAAACTTATCAGTGAAATGTAAGTAACAATTAAATAATTACTATGATTTTAAATATTATGTGATTCGGTGTTGTACTAAGTATGCGGAGAGGAGTTTCTTTCATCTTCTTCATAGTACCTGCAAACTATATGACTAATGAGCCCTAGATTATCCACCAATCTCCGCACAGTGCTCCTTTACAGATATTGCGTCCAGGCTGATTAATGAAGTTTCTCCAATGTACAGAGTAACCGCTTTTTTATATCAAAGTGTTGAGACTGTTGAGTCAGTAATAATTTCGGCTGAGACCTATCTTTATCATTGATATTACTGGTGTAAAGGTGACTCTAATCATAGACCAAAAATTTGCTTTAAATCTCCATGTAAGACTTGCTCTTAGGATAGGACCCTCGTAGAAGTTGAGCATCGCCCGTCACGATTTCTAACAGCCGAGCATCGCAACCACAAGCTGGCACCTATTTGTGTAACGAAGACACAGCACCGTCTTTCCCATGAGGAACAAACCACGAATGTGCACTCTACCATAGCATCCACAGTTATGACACTCTCGGTACTCTGATCCGGCGCAAGTACTTCCCGAAGCAACCGTACCCTATCAGCACTTGTAGCGGCGGAGAGGTGAATTGGCCGCGGTCACGATTTAACCAGTCCCCGAAGACCAGTCGGATCGCCTCAACGGTCCACATCGGTAGTATCGACATATCGTCTGGGCCATGACCGCGAGTACGGACTGCCGAAATTGGGCTTCACAGAAGTTAGCTCGCCACAAGTACCAGCGAGTGACTCCCAAGAACCAGGGCGGTGCTTGTCGCCCCCTACATGCATGCCGCCTCTGAATGGCTTTTGAATGGCTCTGACCGCGATGCCGTGCTGTAGCTTCAGCACATATGGCTTTTGTCCCTCTAACGGCTACGGACAAAAGCCACATATGGAAGCGCAGTATAGTGCCACCGACCGAACCGCCCCCGTTTAGAGGCGGCGCGTCGCCTAGTCAGGTCCCCCGGTGTTAGGCCGAACTACTTGGGTACCAAGTCAATAAAATGATCCCGAGAAGCACAACCACTATTCAGAATGAGGCGGAGATAATTCAATTGTACCCCGACCTCGAAACCAACACTTATGAGTAGCAATAAATGGGCACAGTTTCTTTGTTTTTATTGTTGTGTGGGCTTTAGTAACCTGAATGAATAAATAATAATACATATATCCTCTTTGAATTCCTTGCCCAAAATATCAGTAACTGCCTTAGAATGTTGGAGGGATGATTACGAGTTAAGAAATAGAAAGAAAAAATGGATAGCATAGAGTGAATGGCCGGGGACTTATCGGAGTGAGTTGATTTGGGCTTAGAGAAGTTGGAAGTTGTGAGAAGTTTACATTTACTTAGTTCTATTAAATTCAGGTTTGAATTTAAGCTGTTTCGTTTCATTCCGGGTCGTTTCATAGTAGCCTCTTCGGCTTCTTCTTCTAGTTCGTCGTTGAAATCCATACCCAAAGTCACTTGTCTGACCAGTTGCACCTGGTCTCTTGTTCAACAATCTATATTTTCATCAATATACTTTTATTCGGGTGTTAAAGTCAACTAGGTAAGACTTAGTTGTCTGTCACCTGTTTTCCCTGTCATCAGATCGCAGCTCATTTCACCAGAATGAGCTGTCCCCTTCCAAAGGTTTTAAATCTGCAAGCTCAGCGTTCAGCCAGTCATAACGGCTGTGCAGGCTGCCCTGGGGAATGGCGATCTAAACTTAGGTTCGCCTCCTTTCATCGAATCAATTTCTCAAATTATCTGTGATCTAAATTAAGCCTAGTTAATAGTCCTGAGATGTCTTTGAATATCCTTATGTTCACTCGAACTTCCCAGACGATATTCTTAAATATTGGTTTCATAAAAAGTGATAAGTCTCGAACACGTACGTCAGCAATGGCAGGGGAATCGCTAAACCGCGTTTTATC